AAAATGTTCAAGGTGCCCCATCCTTGGAGGGTTATTGCTCCTTCCAGGATCACCCGCTCAGGTCGATGGACAGGTAGATTGGCCATGGCTTTCCCCCTCACCATGGGCTTCTCTTGTGGTGCCTAAAATAACCCATGGGAAGAGCCTGTGGTACGCAGGAGGCAATGTTGTGCCTGGTTGTGGCGGAAGGGATGGGAGATGCCTCCCTATTCTGCGTGCCAGCTCCTGGCTGTGGTGCCTATATAAACAGCTTTCTGATAGGGCTTGCCACGTCAGCTCTAGCATCCCCAGTTCCTTGCTTCTAATCTCGAGGAGCATTGTTATAAATTTAAATGTGAAGACTTTAAATTCTACTGCAGCTGTGGGGAAAAATTAACATAGGAAAACCTTGTTTTGTACTGCAGTAGCTGTTTGAAATTTTCTTCCTGAAAACATTCGTATATGTCCAGTTCATCTTAAGGGGTTGTCAAAGTGCACGTGCTGAAGATGTACTCTTCCATGTTTGGATAATTGTACCAACTGAAATCTTGAAAATGCTATTGAACGTAGAGGCTACCGCAGAGGCATTAGGGTGTCATGAGCCAGATTGGTGAGGCCTCACTGACTAATTGCCATTGGCACCTTGTTGCTCGGGCTGCCATCAGTCATTGTATGGGAGACCAGAGAGTGTGCAGCTGCAGGGAGCTGCAGGCACAACATGATACTCTAGTCCAGAATAAAAATAATTATTTAAAGGTAAATGAAGTTCATGTAGAGATACAAACCAGTTCCAAACACAAAAGGGTCCCTGCCTTGTTTGTAATCCTCTCTAGATGAAAGGACCTGATCCTGCAAATCCCCGAGTGGGGGATGTGGGGCTGTCTGCCAGGGCAGCCCCTGGGGCTCCTTGGTATCAGTGACAGTGCCCATCACTGGGGCTTACAGCTGCGCAACCGGCAGCCCCTACCTGCGTTTGAGGGGCTTGTAAGACCTGTCTGTATAAACCAAGGGAGACCTTCCCTCTTCAGGGATGTGTTCAGCTCAGAAGACAGTAGGAGGCAGCTCAGGGAGGGTCTGGGTGCTGTGCCTGCACTAGTGGAAGGCCTCCTTTGAAAAATGCCCTGTCTGCAAAACAGAACAAGAAGGCCAAGGTAGCTCAATTTTTCTACTTTGAGGCTTTTTTCCCCTGTTATTCTGCCCAATTTAGAGCCTGCTAGGAACCTCTCAAGTGGGAAAAGTGCAGAATCTCTAATCAGAAACAGAAGAGGTTTTCTTGGGTATAAAATTTCAGTCAATAATGTGCTGCTGCCTTATTGACATGAAAAGAATGCCTTTCATGTGATACAAACATTTATTACTTGCTCCTGTTTACTCTGCTCACCTTGTACAGAAATGCTGATTGACATTGACTAATCAGTCCATTTTTGTATATTGTCATCAGACTCTTTCTTTGGCTGGAACAATATGCACTGTATGATGCTTGCATGTCTAATAGTTTGTTATTAGCACTTTGTATATGCCATTGTTACTTCACAACTAACAGTTCGGCCTCCAAGCGCATGCATTTGTGTAAATTAATGTGTTATAAAATAATAGATTTATTTGCTATGTTTGTATCCATGTAGGAGTTGTATAAGATATGCATAAAGACACTGATAATTGCCATTTAGTCACTGGCAGAAGGCATCCTTCAGTTTGTATTTACACAATCACTTTCTATTTTGGCTTCGTAATGCCATGTCTGTCTTTCAGTTCTGTATTTATTCAATTGCAGATTCGGTTTGTTAATTTTATGATGATTAATTACAGTACCATATAAACTAGAAATTTTTTGTTACGCAAGACAATTCTAGTAAGAAGTAGGAAATTTATTTTTTTTTCTACCAGTGTTCCTGAAAGCTATAAATACCTTTATTCATATCATGAAATTATTAGACTACTGATCAAACAACTTTATTGCCCCGATACTGAGCTAACAATAAGCTATATACTTGGTTCTGAACCAAGCTTCAGAGTAATGGCAGTTGCTGTTGCAGTGCTAGGACCCGAAGATATCACATTTATTTTGTGTGTTTCAACATCTCAGGACACTGTCTCCTGCAAAGTCCCCGTCTTCGTCCACTGGATCTATTGCTTCCAGCAGAAAATACCCTTACCCGATGCCACCACTGCCTGACGAGGAGAAAAAGGCCAACAGGCAAAGTGCCAGGGTACGTCTCTTTTTTCTCTCTGCGTTTCGTCAGTGACTTGATTTTCTGGTAGTTTTTCAAAAGGCAAGCATGGCAAATCACGCTTTGACTACCAGCGAGATCAGCGGTGGCATTTCCTTTGCACCCTTACCTCCAGAAGCTGCTGAAGGCTGAGTCTCCAGCAGCCATTATGGCAGCCTGGGTGGTGGCGTTTACAGATACCCGCTCAGGTTGCTCTGAAATCTTCTGGGAAGCCTGGGTTTTGCTAGTTTTCTTGTTGCAAGCTGGGTCTGTGCGAGGGGCAGCCCTCGGGCTGCGGAGGACGGGCAGCCCGGGAGCAGGCGGTGCACCTGGCTCTCCTCCCTCCCTGCTCCGGGGGCTGACACAGCCAGAACTCTCACTGGGGCCGAAAGAGAGCTACTTGCCAGCTTTATGGATGGGTAACAACATTCCATTAGGGGTGATGTGGAGGCCTTGCATCGGGCCCTTGCAGACCTGGAGGGACTGAGCCCCCCTGGCCCCCCAGGGTGAGCAGGACATGCAGTGGGTTGTGATGCTCCAGGTGGAGAGGTTGCCAGCCGCTCCCTTGGTGACCCAAGGGATATCGATGCAGTTCCCCCAACAAGCTTCTCACACCGTTTGGGTAACAGCCTGGTTTATCCTAGTGTCCAATGTGTGTTTGTGTTCCTTTTCCCCCCTCTCCAGCTATGGGAGACATCCATTTAGCTGCACTGTTTTCCTGGGGTGACATCTGAACTGTTTACTTCGAATTTTATAGAAACTCGGCATCGCTGAGTCACTGCACGTTCATCTGCTCTTCAGACAATTCAAAAGATCAACAGAGATGCCCGTGATCACAGTGAGAACCTCCTCTCATCTGGAAGGGAAAAAACCAGTCCTTTTTCTTTCTTTCTTTTTTGTTGACTAGTATTTTCTGGATTTGATGAACGACCAAAATCATAACAACTAACAGGGGATAATTAGCCAGGACATGACAAGGTTATTCTGCATGGTGACAGATACACTTACCTAGAATCCCACTGCAGTTTGCCAGGCCCACATAAGAGAGGTTTTTCTCTGGTTTATTGCAGTCCCCAGTCAGACCAGAGTGGAACCGGGAAAGTATCTCCCGGAGAGCCCAGCTGATGTAAACTTGTACGCTGTATGCATGAACCTTGTGTTCTTTACTTTCCACATGTAAGGAAATAAACAACATACTGTAGTAGAAATTAGCATGCAGGAGTAAGAAATATAGGAATTTTTTTTTGTGACAGGATTTCAAGCTTTGAAAGGCAAATATTTGACACAAACATCAAACAAACAAGGATTATATCTTTTTTTTTTACCTTACATGTTTGTAATCTCAGTATACAGATTGTATATATGTAAACATTTGATAATGTCAAAAATAGCTGTTATATACATAATTGTATTTTGCCAAATGCCTAAAGAAACAGTCATGACTAACATCATCACCCTTCAGATTTTCTAATATTACGAGTAGACATCTTTGGAAATGCAGAAAGTACAGTACTGTAAAACTGCGTCTCTCAGAAACTGGTGTTTGACCAAAATCTATACTATCTTTTCAGTATCTTAGACCATCTTGACAATCTCCATTGTATGGTAGACTGCAGGAACCAGTACAGCAGCACTTTGTCTTAAGAGGAACTAGCCAAAATCCATTGTTCAGTGAGACAACCAGTGTATCCTCTCTCAGGTGTAATCAAGAACACTTTGGCAAATGACAGAGACAGAATCTTTAAGTAACGCGCAGCCCAAACTTGCTGCACACTTGGGAATACTTCTGAGTACGAGTTCAGGATGGGGTGATGTGAAGTCCTTCTGGGGAGAGTTGTTGTGTATTTTTGATAGAGCGTCTCGGACGCTATTTTAGATGGCAAGGCGGAGCTTGTGAGAAGCATAATGATTTCACTGCGCTAGGTAATAATGATGCTGGGGAAGTGGCCAGTTTCATTGCTGTCTTTTTTTAATTTGTTACTGGAATTGCCTTTACCATGCGCTTGAATGCTATGCTTGCTGCCCCTGACAGCCCCTTGACAATTTTGGGGGGCACTAAACTTGAGTACAAGTGAGTTTAGCCTAAAAAAACAGGGGCAGGGGGAACCCAAACCCTTTACCGTGGAGATGTTAATCTTGTGTAGAAGTGGATGGTTAGGTTGCTAACGGCTGAGACTTCTACAGGCTGTTGTAAAACAAATTTGATTGGGAATTTTCAGTCGGTAAGAAATTGGACCATTTTAAATCTCAGTTTATAATTCTCCAGCTTTCCAAAATTAACCAGTTCTTAGCTTCAGGTAGTACCATTGCAGAATAAGGTACCCGATTCTGCTGCGTGGTGCAGTGAATACCTTGCCCAACAGCCGTATCTGTTATTGTCATGGGAACATCTACAGTGTTTCTGAATCTTCTACCTCTTTCATATATTTCCTTTAATAAGTGAACCTAACACTTGGAGCCTTTTAATATATTTTTTTAACTTTTAAGTCTGTCGATAAAGTCAGATATATGTAAGATTAAATTAAGAAGCGTTTAAAGATGTCAGGAACTACGAAGTATGTAAGATTTTTAGAAGCACTATATTTTATGATTAGGCTTTATGCTGGATTATGGCAAAATATTGGCCTTGGCGTTCAAATGATTTTCCTTCACAGTCGACAGGTTCTGGTAAGTATTTTGGAAAAAGACAAATATGAGTGAGCGCATGTGGATGCAGACAGACCATCTGGAAGGAGCCAGTCACTTGCAATGGCTTTAGGAAAAGGTTCTGCACTTTTGCAATGAGTAAATGTCCATTGGCAATGAAGAATATCTTTAGCAAAGATTTGAATGTCGGTAACTGGATTAAAGAGAGTTGGCAGCATGTAGCTCACGGAATTAGCGTCTGAGCCATAATCGCTTGAAATCAGTAGGTCTTTTATTGATTTCACCGGACTTTAAGCAGGACCCTCAAGGAGTTCCCCCACATTAGGACATTCTGCCAATAGCTGCTGTGTTACTCTGTTGCCTGGAAGCTGTTTTCCCCTCCCACATTAGTATCTTGTCTTTAGTAACTGGACTGTTCATCATGTGCCTTTTATGGTATTTGTTTGGATACAAACTGGCATGTAATTTTGAATAATCCTGTTAGATTTCTGTGCATATTTTATGTTTACTGCTGTTTACTCTTCCCTTTCCATTTTGTCTTATCAAGAAGCAGCAAGACTGGGCAGACAGGATGGGATAGAACATACTGGCTCTTTGTGTACTGTTCATAGCTTCTTGTTTTGCAAACAAATGGCTCTCCTGACTGTATTTTCCATGTAGTGTGTGCTTTCAGCTTCTCTCGTTTTGGTATAATTCATTGGTAGTACATGATGATACCGTTACATCTGTAGTGTAACTTTAACAGTCTCTTTGACACCTGGAGATATGTAGTGACTGGAAGTCTCGATATGAGCACTAAGCTCAAGTTAAATAAATGTTGACTTTCACTTTGATGGTCTAGAGTGAGAACATCACAGGACTTGGGTTTTTGCAAAATTCTTCTGCAGAGAATTTTACATCAAGTTGGAAACTTGGAGACCTGTTGTTGCACAAAACCTGAACTGGCAGGGCTGTGGGAGCTTCCGAAGCCAGGGGAGGTCCTGGGGAGAGGTGGTTTGCTTACATTTTGGGGGTGCGCCCTTGTACAATGTACTTTGTTGGAAAGCCGCCTTGAAGACTGCAAGAGTTTTTATCCGCTGTAGTTAGTTGCACTGGCAACAGCAATAGAAATTGCCACATAATACCTCATCCAGTCTAAAATGGAGTACTTGTGTTGTCAATAAGATAGCGCAGTCAGTTTGGCTGATTGAGACTCATGCTTTTATTTTAGTTTTATTTTAATAAATGAAGTAGTTATTGCCAGCTATGCTGTAGATGCCTGGTGAAGTGGGGATGTTATCAGTTCTTCTCAAATGAGCACAGAACCTGCAGGATGAGCTTGAGTTAGTGTTATGTATTTCAGCATGGGAGAAGAATCTTGTGTAATTTAAAATAAAATTCATATGACTAACTGATGGAGACTGGAAAATAGAGATTGTATCCAAATAATAACACTGCGCAATGATGTCACAGTTTAACAAGTAACAATTTACCTGCTAATTCCAGATTTGTTGACATAAGAACTTCAGTAATCCATACTATAGACTTTTGGTGAATATACTCAGGCAATATACTGGAAATGGTTGTGATTGATAATTTATATATAGTCTTTTTATATTTAAACAAGTAGTTTTAAGGCGCTTGTTAATTTTATACAGCCTACCTTTGCTTAAGTTGTGAACTTAAGTCATTACTTGCCAGTTACCTGATGTGGAGTGTGACTTGACTTTGAAGACAGCTGCTTCCAAATGAGTTAAGAGTTCCTGAGTTATGAGATGTTGAACCTGCAAAGCTGATGTACTCATTAGATAATTCTGATTGTGCTATTGAACAAATGGACCTTTGAGCTATAGCCTGAATTAAAATCAGAAAGAAATTGTGTCAACAGCTAGCACACTGAAATCCTCTTACCTGAATCCCTTTTGCTGTTTTAAATTAACTCAGTGGTCTTGTCACCACGAACATGACAACCATTTTCAAAACCAGAGCTAAGAACAGGCACATACACTGTTACAGCCTTGCATATACTGGAAATTCTGACCGAACTTGCAGTCATTTTGTTAATGAATTCATTAATGAATAGGATAGGATGTAACGTGAAAGAATGATGCAACTCCATAATCCTATGGGATAAGAAGTCAGCTCTTGGGACTTGCTCTGTTGTCGAATCCCACACGTAGCTGTTGTCAGCAGAATTATCACATACCATTGTAAAACTCAGCAAGCTCCTGTTCCCTTCTCTTCCAGCCCCTTTCCACTCCTACTGAAAAGCATTTTCACGAATGATAATTACAGCCACGAACATCCTCTTGTGTTAGTTGACCAAGACCAAAAAGCTGCTAGGCTGGTCACCTTTCCACCTGACGGCCTGGATAAGGTCTGTCCAGTGCTGTTGATGTATCTTTTGCTCTTGCTACAGTGGAGGTGGTGGAGCCTTGTGCACTGGTGTGCTGGGTTTGCCTCAGGTAGAGTTTATTTCTTCATAACGGCTGCTGTGGGGCCGTGGTTTGGATTTGTGCTGGAACCAGAGCTGATAACACAGGGATGTTTTTGTTGTGAGCAGAGCTCGCAGACAGCCAAGGCCTTTTCTGCTCCTCCCCCCACCAGCGAGGAGGCTGGGGGGCACAAGGAGTTGGGAGGGGACACAGCTGGGACAGCTGACCCCGACTGACCAAAGGGACATCCCAGACCATATGACGTCCTGCTCAGCATATAGAGCTGGGGGAAGGTTGGCCGGGGTCTGCTGCTTGGGGACAGGCTGGGCATCAGTCAGTTGCTGGTGAGCAACTGTTTTCATTTGTATCACTTGTCTTTCTTGCATTTTATTTCTGTCTCTTTGTTATTTCCCTTTTCATGACAATTTTTTATCATTATTTTATTTTATTTCAATTATTAAACTGTTGTTATCTCAACCCACAAGTCTTCTCACTTTTACCCTTCAATTCTCTTCCCCATCCCACTGCAGGCCAGGGAGTGAGCGAGCGGCTGAGAGGGGCTGAGCTGCCAGCTGGGGTTAGGTAAAACTGTTTGGTGGCTCAGCCATCCTGCGTCTTCCTCGCCCTCCAGCATTGCTGAGGGCTGAGCCTCTTTCCTCACTGAGTCTGTGAACTTCACAATTATGCCATGTCCTGTTTCTCTGGCTCCAAGTCTGAAGACCATCCGTTTCTTTCTCTAAGTTACTTGAGTGTCTGTATCATTAACAAACTGTTTGGGCCACTGTTATCAACCACAACGTGAGGTTACATTTTTAGAGAGCTTGAGCATTCTGGTCTCCTCTGAAGCCATTTTTTTGCACAGAACGGATTATCCATCAGCCTGCTGAGCTGATAAGCCACTATTTGCATGGCTTCCAAACCGTATGACATTTATCAGCAATACGGGATTTGACTGAGCAGATTTCCTGAAGACAAATATGAATAAACTGCACACGTACATATATCCCATGGCTGCCCGGAGGGGTAAGGATCCTGTGTGCACATAACCATTATCCAAACAGAGCAAGAAAAAAGGAAACGGTGAAACTGATGGTATAGACATGGCCACAGTACAGACAGGACTCTTTTAAGTGTGATTTCACCAGAAACAGGAGAGGAAGTAATAGTTTCTATCTTCTACACTAAAAAACTCCTTTGACCAGAGTATTTTCCAAGTCAGCTTACAACAAACGTTTCTGGTGTCTCAAGTATGGATGCTGAGGGAAACTAAAGCTTTGGAAACAGCAGCTCATACACCCAGCACGTGGTGTCTTGTCATTCCACAGCAGTTTCCTGCAACGACCGAGAGAAGCACTACCACAGTCAACAGGAATATGTTACCATCCGGCCAAGTAACCAAAACAAGCAGTAAAAATACATTGGGAACACAAAAATGTG